GATTTTCGATCGTCTGCCACAGGGCACACGATATCTTCCTTTCGGACGCGAGATCCCGTTGGCTAATCTGTAAATCCCACACCAGAGCCGTCATGCCCACGTCAAGCCCGCTGCTTGCCCGTCGGTCGAACTCTGCAGCTAGCTTGGCCGCAATGTCCACGAGCTTGCGGTTCTCGCTCTCCAGCTTCTCCATGTTTCGCTGGAGGCTGTCCCTTTCGGTAATCAGCGCACCGACTTGCTGTTCCAGGTCGAGACTCCGAGATCTCGCTTCAAGGTCGATTGTCGGATCCAGAGGGAGATCACTTGGAAAGAAGCCCTGTTTGATAAGCTTTCTGAACGACCCTGTGTAGCAGCACACCCGACTTTACGGTCTTACCTTCGGCATTGCTTGCGCGCCGCAGTGAGGCATTCTTCCCAGCATCCACTGATATGGTGTTTTGGGTAACGTAACGCCGACCAAGCTGAAATCCAATCGGAGACCTGTAAGCCACTATGATGGATTGGCCAGTATATATATTCATGAAATTTTCACTGTCGAATCTGCTCGGTCACAGCCACTGCTACCAGCATTGTAAAAGGCTTGGGCCAGGAACTCCCTGTGTGGGTTCTTGGATTGTTGAACTGTGCAACCGCGTTGAATGTGGAAATTGCTACCGAATGCAGCGAAAATTGGCAATCTAGTTTCAACGGCTCGAGATAAGACATGGTATCTGTGCAAATTCCGCTGGGGGCCTTGCTGCCCCTCGTCTCAGACCACAGTTGTGAAGCCATCAAAAATGTGAGTTGCTGTCGCATACCAGTGCAACGCACAGGAACCGTTCGGGCTGAGTCCTTTAGACGGATGCGTGGACGGAAATGGCCACTGCACTATCCTTCGTTCTATCCTCAGATTCCTGCGGCGGTATTTGTAGTATTTATCTCCTGGGCGTCTTCCGGAGCGAAACGGAGTATGAATGGTGAATCGTGCGCTCGAGAGAATGTCATCCAAGTCCGGCAAGCCTCGCAAATCTTCCTGGGATCGTAACACACAGGAGCAAATTCGGAAACGACGGCATAATCTATTCAAGAGGATCAAAGAGTTCCACGATCGCTATGGCATAGAGACTTGGTGCACCATGAGGATGCCGAGCGGGCGACTCTATGTCTTCAACACAAATCCAGATGAGCCATCACCTCCAACAGGAGAGACTGTAATTTCTACCAGCCTCCCCGCTGCAACCCTACTGACATTAAGCAGGAACATGAGGTGACTATCATCCACAAGACGCCTGCCGACTATGCACCCAAGCAGCCGTCAGTATCTCCGGTCAAAGCACCCCCAGCTCTGCCATTTCATGATCTACCGTGCTTTGTACATGCGGCGTTGGAAACGGTGCACGATATCCATGCGCCCCATGTGCTCTCGCTCCCTCCTTCCTGGGCGTTTGTCTGCTAAGAAGGGGTCTGGAAGGACTACCTCTTTTTGCTGTAGCAAAGAGAAAGTGTGTACTATACTGGGAAAAGCCGGGTTGAGATTTCAAGGCTTGTGCACCGTCCTGCCCCCAACGTGTATCAAAGCATAGGTTTAGCTGGAATTTGAACTTCGTGATACTCTCTCTACAGTAGCACTTTACTTGATGCATTTCTGTGGTGGAGTTACAACCACTAGTTAAAGCTTTTCGACGACTACAGAATCGCAGGTAGGCTAATTCACTGTGAACAGGTTCAGACGCTGATCATTGACGTGCGAGTAGTGACCTTGTGGTCATGGGGGCGGAACCCAGCCCGTAGCAAATCTTTTAACCGGTCATGTTAATCATGATATTCCATCTATCCAGTGGCATTCATTCATATAGAGATAGAGATCTTTAATATTAAATCCTTGATGAAAAGAGAACCGTGTTGCTAAAAGTGACGTAAACGAACTATTTACATTATCAAATTGATATTGCTATTTGCAGCAGCGGCGTCGCGCAGCCGATCGAGCGGCGGCCTAGGCAACAACCACCAATTACGGCGGTTAGTAGAAGTGAAAGAACCCGAGCCGACCGAGACCATGAATGGACTGCTCGCAAAGGCGGACATTCTACACGACCATACTGCACCATTACGTGCATCCGCGACTTGGTCAACCGAGAACCTCTAGGTAAATAAAAAGCTCTAAGTGGAAACTCCACAGTGGTCAGAGACACTCTATCGGACCGCAGGAGTTCACACGCCAGCTCCATCATCAGCTTGCCCGAGATTGAGATCCTGGATTCGAACAGCTGCACGAGTGTGGTCGGACAGGGTATCTTATAAAAGCCACCCTTCTTTCCCGCGGATACACTGTGATGATAAAAGCTACGACTGTGGAGAAACAGCATCGCCTTCAAGCGGAAGTGGGCAATTATCACCGGCTTAGAAACTTACAGGGACAACTCATCCCTGTCTGTCTTGGGACTCTAAGCCTCGCGTTACATAATGAGACGAGGACTTGGTGAGCGCCCGGAGCACAGCGTTGCGGGTCCCGGAAGCAGAGCACGCCTGGAATATGATTTCGGTTACACCGCAGCGACCCTCAAGCTGCTTATGGGGAATCATTAGCAGACCCCAACATCTCGAATAAGACCAACCCGCTTGACGTTAGTTTGCTGAATGGACTCGTTTACGGTTGACCATTGTCTAAGCGTATGCTCAGAGGGTCGGGCGAAAGTAATTTTCCGGGCTTGAACAGGGCGACCAATGAAAATCCTTAACACCCCTAAGCTTGTAACCGAGCAGCCAAATTGATGATACTAACTCGGCTCCTTGGCCAACTCAGAGCCATTCAACATGAAAACGGGTCAGGCGAAGCACTAAGGTTACTGGGCATATAGAGGTCAAGTGAAGATTTGAGGAATCCTGCGGAGACAGGCTTGAGCGGAGTCAAGTCCTCAGGGCTATATTATATTGAAGGGAGGAAGACATTCCTGAGCGTAGCTAACTGTGAAGCTGCTAACAGGCAAAAGATGCAGTTCCCGCCTAGCTATGATTTTCTAGAGTAGCTGGGACGGAGTTTGAATAGATCCAAAATCTGAATACGGGCAGCTAATGAAACGAAAACGTAGCTTAACTCAAATTTTTTGAAACCAGTACACCGGAGAAAATCGAAAGACCAACGAACTCCGTGGAAGGCTTCTATTGACTATTCGCTGCCGAAGGCGGAAACTGTTCGCACACGTAAATTGATATATATGGGAACCGAAAGCCATTGAGATGTCTATTACTTGATGAAACTATAATATATTTGCTTGCAATTTGCCACTTAGCCCCTTCCTTTAGACTCCTGTATCAGCTTAACTGAACGTACGAGTACACACCAGAATGATGACTTAGTACTTCCCCATGTTCAGTCCATGCGATGTGGTAAGCTTTCCTCGCCACGACGGCTAACAGAAACACAGGTGCTCCAACTGCGCTAAAGAGGACCCAGATACATAACATAATCACGTCGCTCTTATAGTCCCACAGCACTTTCGTCGGCGATAAGACGTTCCTGCCACTTGGTGGCGATGCTTTGGGGCATGCCCATGAGGTACATGGCCAGTTGTACGTTCGGGTCGTGAGGCTTCGCCATGTTGCGCGCACGGACAGTACGGTCAATTTCTTTAATAGGGCCCACAGCCAATGGCCCAAGATCATGGCATCCTAGCTCTGGAAATAAGCAGTGCAGGTTGAGTCCCACAGCAAAAAATTGTGCTAGAACCGCTAGACCGATGGTGTCGTCAACGCCATCTCGCAGCATGACTGGAGGAAGCCAAAAGAGCCATTGTCGCAGAATGTGCACGTGCTGGAAAGCCTGATCTGGCGAAAGAGAACAAATATCACCAAGGAATTTATCCAGAAAATCCACCAGTTTGTTCACCTGATTGTAGTGCTTTTTAATATGCACAAGTTGTCTCTGGATATGCCGCAGGACTGTAATTGTATCGGCAAGACCGGATAGATTCTTATTATTGAACTGGCAGCTAACGATAGAAGACGAGTCCAAGGTTTGAAGGTATTGTTCAGTCTCGAGGAACTTTGCCAGCTCGGACTCGTACCTCCATTCCTGCGGCATGGAATAAAAGACAGATTTCAAACCAGTCCACAACGCTATCCAGCTTGACCTAAACTTATCAGCACCCGTGGTATTGGCAAGAAGAGATTCTATACCGTTCACTGTCTGCCCATAATAGTAGCATGGTAGCCGCAAGGACTTCATCATAATTCTCCCTGCAAAGCTTGCTAGAAGCTATTCGTAGTTGCTCGACTGCAGTCTGACGAAAGTAGAAATATGTCTGTTTAATTCCCACCTTCGGCTCGATTGTAGCTAACAAGGATGCGGATAGGGTGAGGAGCGAGCTCATTACTAAGTTATCGGAGCCTGCCATAGAATAGAATCTGCATATGATATCAGCTCTGGCTTCGATATGGGTTAGAGTTACTTACAGAGGCAGCTTCTGAGCCCAGATTGTGTAGTCTCTCATGCCGCGCTGTTCCAGACTTTCATAGAGCTTGGTAATAAGATCAATGAGTTTGTTTAGCGGCAAGTAGTTCATTTCCGGTCTGATAGACCGCCAATACTTAGGCCCTTCCTCAATCACTGCTGTGTTTGTGTAGTTGCAGGAGACGCTGCGCTCGATGCAACGCCCACTGCGCTGGTTAACTGACTCGGCTCCATGCACTGTGCTCCGTGGGAAGGCATACCATTGCGGCAAGGATTTATCGCATTTTTCATGGCGCCGTTTACATGACTCGCAGTTCATGGGGGATTTGTCCTGGTGACAGCCAGAATTGGGCATCTTGATATGATTTACTCGGTCAAACTGGGAATTAGAAGGAAAGATATTCACTGTTTGGTCTAAGCAAATGCAATGAGACGTTGCATCTAAACTCCACCCACAGGTATCTACTAGTGGCTGCGTCCCCTTTATCAGTTTTAGTTGCTCTTAGGACAAACTGCTCGATAATCCTTAGGAAGCTTAAGCGAACAAAAAAAGCGCCCCCCCCCCCCCCCCCCCCCCCCCCCCGATGGAAAAAAACCTGCTTGATTGGAATAGGTCGCCTCGCGTGTGTATTGAACGACATAAGTGTACTGTTAGAGGATCATATCTAGAAAGGGAATCGTCTACTGAAGTCGAATAAGGCGCTAAAGGCATACCCAATGAACATCGGTGGGCCAATCTAGCCTGGTCCTAGAGACTTTCCCGATTGAATACTACATTCAATACAGCTTTTCAAAACACCGTAACATGGTCCGAAGTGGGTACGAGTGGGGCAAGGAGAAAGTCCTGGACACTAATGCAGTCCATGGTATGCTGTTCATAATAGAGCTTCCTGACTTATCTGAGATGACCCTGGTGAAAGTATTCGCGGCACAGAACGCGTGTGGTTGAGTTAATCTTTTAGGGGATTTAATTCCTGGGGCTGAGAGCGTTCTCGCTTAATTATTTGTAATATTACAACATCTCATCCGGTAATAAACCATGTGAAAGCAGTATATAATCTACTACCGGCAGTGTTGCCTACAGTGCCCAGAATACTCTCTAGTGTCGTGAAAGCGAAGTATCTAATCCATTCATACCAGTTCTTCTGCTCCGTACTCAGGAGTTTGACCAGTAATACCAACATATTCTCCCACAATGAATCCTACCCATGCGGTGTCCAGTATCCTGCCACCTGAAGCTATACTAGAGAGACTTCTACCGGGCCACGACTTTCTAGTGCGCCTTCACTTTTCCTATTCTCAGTAAGACGCTTCAATATATCTGCTCAGCGCATTGGTCTGTCTCGTACTCTTCGCATATGCTGGACCGATACTCAGTTTTGAGACGAACAAGCATCCTGCCCCGTCAGCCTCTGCCTATAAGACGCGGCTCGAGTGTATCTAAGGTCGTGCTTCTTCAACGGACCGATGTGTCAGACAGATCAAACCGGAAGCTGCCCGGCAATTTCTCTGGATTGTGTTAGTCTATAGAAAATCGCTGAGCATTGGCTAGGATGGTGCTGACCTGCGCATCTGCCATAGTTCATTAAAGATATCAAATAGACGTTTACCGAAAACCCCGCACACTGCGAGTATATAGAATATACAGATCAGGCACAGCACAATAGCTAGTTCGTACATAGTAGACGTGGCCGTAAGGTTATTCAGAGGACATTATGAGTTCAGTAGATGGCCAAGGAGCAAGGTGTATGAGGATGTTAAATCAGCCTCTGGTTACCCCTGGCATCTTTATAAGAGCGCTCCTAAGAATTAGCAGTATAGCACGTGTCCCTGCTCCAGACATCAGAATGCCTATCTTTGTTGTTTACTGGCAACACTAATTCTAGGACCGAATACTGCAGTAACTCCGTTGGTCGATTGTTATGCACCATGAAATGTAGCCTGCGGTCTAGAAAGACAAAAAATGGAACACATGGGTAGTCGTTGTATGCCAGGCAATTCCGCTCAATTCATTGGCAGCCAGCGGCTCCATACGCTTTAGACTACCGCACGATAAGTCAGGGGAAAGCACATCCACTGGGCAATCTCCAATCTTCACCGACGATCATTACCCAAAGGGAAATGTTCGCCTTATATTACAATACGTACAGTTTCAATACACCAAGATATGGTGACTACCCCAGGAAAAGCGCTGATATGTCCGACGCAAAGGCCTATCAGGAGTATGGGAATAGAAACCAACATTGACGACATGCCCCTTGCATTTCCCCGGTAGGAAAAGGAAGATCGTTAGATGACTCTCGATTTAAAGTCCAACATCTGCATTTTCCGGCCGTCATGGCCTCCCTCCATGACTCCTCGAGAGCATTCGCCCATGTTTCGGCTCTTTTATCGAAATTTCACTGGGAAACAATCATGGTAAGTGATTACTCTTAGTTACATAACTTCACTGATGCCAATGGATAAGGCTCCCAACACTCTACTTCCGGAAGAGATCCTGGCATTCCCGGCTCAATCAACCGTCAAGGCGGTACATATTTATTTTCTGGGATTGATATACGGCTCGAATTACGTAAACATATCCCGCTTGGATCAAAATGAAACGGTCTGTCGACATGTGGAAGAGATCTCCAGCGATCTCACTCCAGACGCCTTACTAAAGCTGTCTCTCCTCACCTGGCATTTTGATGCAAGAGGCGATTTCTCCCAAGAGCTCCTTCAATTCATCACCGAACTGGGTGAGTTTGAGGAAGTATGCCAGGTTATCTGGGAGCAGTATAGCGATCATTCGGGGCATTATGTGTCATGCAAAGTCTTCATGATCGAGATGTTGAACCTGTTACGTTTTCTTGAAGGGTATGTTGCCAGAAGTTGGACCAGATTATGTGGTAGGAGTGACTAGCTACACCCATTTTGTGAAAGGGAGTATCGAACTGAGGCTGCATCTGGACAATATCATCCTTTGTACATATAGAAAGGTAGGTAGCAAAGTAGTAACGCTTTTCACGGGCATATCTCCATCCTATGTACGTCCGTGCCAAGACTATCCTGTATGCGACTGTGCATTGGTCTGAAGATAACTGTGCTCAGATTGTCGTTCTGCTATGGTTAATCAAAACGAAGCCCTTCAACCAGGCCAGCCCGCACCCGCAATGACAACAATCCATGTGTAAATTCATCCACATTAAGTACACCGCGACAATCTGTGTGCTAGACCTTCTGTCCAACTACTACCGTTGGGAAAACGCCAATCAGAAGGATCAGACCAGCGGATAAGGTTGTCTGATGGCTAACCCAAATTGACTCGCCTATGGCCACTTTCTGGTTGCCGATTAGGCCCGGCCCGTCTACTCTGAGCACCGTATAGACAGCCTCGGGGATGTTTTGAGGCGAGAAAATATCCTTGGATGTGCGTATGAGGGCGAATGTTCCGAACTATTAATGATGAGCGACGAACACTTACCAAACATATTTAGAAACTTACCCCTTTGTATAGCAGGTCTCGGACTGGGATCAATGGCCTATCAACATCCACAGACGGAACAATAACGCCAAGATCATGATGGGGCTGATCCGTAAGAGGCAAAGTCCCATCTAACCAATTATCCATTTGAGGTAGAAGTGCACAGATCTTAGCCTCCACTTCTACATCGTGAAGTATTTGCAGGTGTCGTACATGCTGCTCAGGCACTTTGTCGGTAATATTTAGCAAACTGGCAGTCGCTCTAAACAGTAGTCAGATCCTCACCAGGCATAGTACTCAATGCAGTACCTCCATGTGAATCATGATCATAGCCACGCGGCTGGCGATCATGGTAAAGCGGAACAGAAAAGTTGCAGCTGTGGGAATGCATAGAAGGTGTAGACGTATAGGACTGGGCTTGAAGCATGCTCGTTTTAGTAAAGGGAATTGTCGATGGACTGGGACATATATATAGACTGCATACCATAATCTGATATGTTTGGGCTTTCTGTTTCTTCGCCATAGTGTTCAATCACAAAAAAAACATCAAAACAATCTGGCGCTTTTGGTAGCTTTGCAGCTGGAATCAGAGATCCCATACATCCCCGATAGCTTGAAAGGAACAGTGCGAAATTGCTTTTATTCGAATCAAGCCCTTTATGGATCGCATCTGCCTTCTGTCGGAAATGCTGGTATAAAACGTCGGAGCGGGAGAAACCTTGGAGGCACTTTGGACATAAATATTTTATTTTTGACTTCTGGAGAACCCTACTTTGGGTATTGAAGCTCCTTTCGAGTCTAGACATCGTCCTGGGCATGTCGAAGCAGGAGAGGAGAGTTTGTGGGATGCGGTTAAATGTCTACTGATGCGGGGCTGGAGTGTTTTTGAGACCCGACAACAATACGTGGTGTACCGTAAAATGATGAGTGGCTGACCCACACGCGGCAGCCCTGGACACTTTAATACGTCCTTGGAAAAATTGGCGCTGTCGACAGCAGGGAGATTGACGTGGCGGAGGTCAAGTATACACTTGAGGCCTCTGATAAAGCCTTAAGTGAAGCTAGGCCTTCAACTCAAGCGTACCTTGAAGGCAGAAATATTGTACATTATAAGCGTCGCTAGCTACGAAGCTGCCAGTGGACAGATCGCTATGCGGGAACTACCCCACCGCTTGTGAGCGAGTCAACCTTCATGACCGGTCGGGATGAAGTTTGAGAAAGTCAGAGTCTGGATTCGGGCCGCCAGTGAGACAGTACAATGAGCTCAGCTCAAACCGATCATCAGGACATCTCTCGCTTTTTCATCACTACAAGGCTGAAATCATTGCATATGAAGGCTCCTTTGGATTGTGCTTTGCCTAATGCGGAAGCTGTACACGCAAAGACTCGCATAAAGAAACTGGAAGCTAGTGAATTGCTCAGCGTATCATATACTATGACATGGATTGAGATCCGCCACTTGGACCCTTCCATTTCATTGTTGTACTACCATCGCCGAGTACACAAACATACATTCGCTTTTTCACATAGCCCTTCAACATCAACATATTATCCTAATGTCACAAAGTAGCCTCATGCTTAGACCATGCAATATGGTGAGTTCGCCTGCGATTATCCTTCCTACTGACATTTTGCTTCCCGTGTCGTAGCTCGCTTTGAAAGCACTAGTGAGACTAGACACAGGTGGCTTCATAGTCATCGAGCGCATCAAAGTTGAATAACTCTCCTAGCGAAGCGTCAGGATGCACCGCTCCTAAAATAGGTGGATTAGCGGGTCAATCTGATACGGAAAAGAGACCACCAACCGTTTTCGGCATCTCTTCTATAATTTTCCACTATGAACCAGGTCTTAAAACATTTGTGACCATCGCGCAATTCAGAAGAAGGAATCGGAGCCCCGATAGCCCTTTCGTAGTAGGCATGAAAAGTTGCGAAGTCGGTTTGTTTTTTAGCAAGACCTGCATGCATTTGATCTGTTTTTCCCACTTCGCGGAAATGGGAGTATAAGACGTCGGCACGGGAGAAACCCCTAAGGCATGGTGGGCAAATAACAATTATGGAGCTATTCTCAAGGATCTTTTTGAGTGTGTCCAACCCTTGCAAGCTATCCATGTTGTGCCTGGAGGAGTGAGTGCAAACTTCAGGATCTACGCACTCAGAATGAGGGACTCGAGGGGTTATATAGGAACAGCCCTCGCCTGGAGTCAGGAAATTGGCTCAAACAACTGGCCAATCTTCCTTCGTCCAAAAATTTCATAGCTAAGGCTAAAGTACGACATGCCGGGTGTGAGACGCATTGCCCTGTTGCTGTGCACGACGGCTCATACACTACCAGGATATTGTTGTACGTCAATACATGCATTTATGGTTCTGGAAATCGCGCCTATTGGCTTCTCTAATACATGAATGGTTTAATTAAACCGACTCGGTGGTCCAGACGATAATCGGTTAATCCATGCAAGCTTTTCCTTTGCGTTTTCACGGGCTCTTTCTAGCTCTAGCTCGTCGAACCTCCCTTCCCTAATTGAGTTCGCGATATCATCCAAGCTCTGGATGTGCCAACCAGCACGAGCAACTGCAACTATTGCCGGTTGCCCAATTGCCTTGAAGTTGCTCCAGAGAAGACGGTCCCTAAACCTGCCACGAAGGCAAGTAACCACGAGGTCGTCGGGGCCTCTCTCCACGCCAATAAAGGCTATAGTCTAATCTATTGTTAGATAAAAGCATATGCAATATACGTAAGTGCCTGACCGTATGGCTTTGCAACCTGGACCCAACCAGCCACCGTCTCATACCCTTCGGAACAATGCTAGCAAGGCAATACATGGTAATTCAAGGAGAGCAGGAACGGACAACGAAGTTTGAAACAGTAGATTTGTAGAATTACTAGACTTCAAGGTCAGTATCACACCCATTGCAGATGCTATGGCCATGACTATATATATAACTGTCACTTGGGAAGCTCTCATCCCCCTCCCTGCTCCAGCAATGACCGTATCTCCATATCCTTCCTATTCATGGGTCTATACCTGGCTGGGAAACCTGGGAAACCTAGGAATTCTGGGAAGTCTGGGAAGTCTGGGAAGTCTGGGAAGTCTGGGAAGTCTGGGAAGTCTGGGAAGTCTGGGAAGTCTGGGAAGTCTGGGAAGTTTGGGAAGTCTGGGAAACCTGGGAAACATGGGAAACATGGGAAACCTGGGAAACCTGGGAATAACCGAGAGTTGTCCTTCATATCTTCCTCGCAACAAGATGACAAAGGTTCAACACAGAAAAGAATGTCTATCAAATCTAGACTACTGCTGAGTCTGCTCTATTTACCCCTAATAACTTACAGTAGCCTTGGCGAAAGACGTGCGGTTTGAAAGGTGGGCTGAGGTGTTCCGATCATGTGAGCACCTAGTAGGGGGCCCAATCCCCACCTTCCCCCCACTTCTTGGATTCTCAGTTGGGCACGCAGGGAAGTTCTTTATGTGTTGATTAAAACGGTGATTTGCCAGGTCGCCTACACAAATACAGATTATCAGTTATAATTTGAGGGGGAACCAAAGCTTCGTGAGTATAATTCTCGATTTGACCGCCTGTCAAGCCCTACTCAAAAATATTTAACCTGTTACATGTATCCTGAGCAAGAAGCAGGACCCTTCGTCAACAAATTATTATTGCAAGTCACTGATATCGAGTCATCCTATATAGTTCAACCTCATCTACCTCCCATACATGACAAGCGCGCAAAATTGAATCAGACTCCAAATATCCAGGTCGAGGGTTGGATCAAGAGGATGGACAGGGACGAAGTTGAGGATGCTGGTATATCTGTCGATGGCTTGCTAGACAGCAACATCATAGACATGACAGATAAACTGCTCAAAGAGGCGGGAAATATGGTAGGATGCTCTTGCGGTTTGAAGGAAACGTCTGCTAATGGCAAAAAGCCAGATAATGGGATTGCGCTGGATGCGTGGACAACAACCTCCGGAGTCATGGCAGTAGACTCAACTGTGATGGCGCTCCTCGTTAAAAACACTGGCGCTGGGGGAGTAGTTCGGGTGTTGGGTAAGCCAGAAAAGTACACGAAAAGCAACGGGCTACCTGGAGTAGTCCTTCTTGTTCTGAAGCCCGGTGAGAAGTTTTTGCTCTTGGGCTCGTTATCAATTCGCTATATTCGTCGTCGAATATCCCAATGAAATGATGAGATCGTTCGCCAATTCCCAAGCGAACAAAAGACAAACGCTCGACCCGACATCAGATGTGACTTTCATCTCCACCGAAGGAAAGGCGTTGGACAAGGGCATCTTCAGCTTCAGAATCGGGCAAGTTGGTTCGTACTGTTGCAACAACCTCACGACGGCCTGCCGGTCGCTCAGACTCTCATAAGTCAAAAGGAAATTAATAAGATGACTAGTGCTGAGGTCGATGGCTTGGTATGGTGGCTCGCTTGGAAGGAGGCTGACTTGGAGCATTGGTATCTCGTTGCGGTACAGGAAAATCGAGCCTTCTGAAGGTTTTTGGGGGGGGGTCTTGACTTGGTCTTCATGGTCCTCAGAGGTATTAACTGCGCAATACTGTAAATTAATGTCCACTAGAATGTATACTTGGTACCTCACCAGTCTCCACGTAGTCAACGCCTTCTATCTCGCAAAGTACGCGGGCTCTATCGGCTAACGCTTTTGGATGCTTAACGGATCTCCACCAGTCTCGAAGTTTCGGGATAATTTCGAGGTAGCTCTTGCTACCTAGCTCCGTGGCTGACACGAGAAAGCAGCTCAGGATAAAGACTGAGGAGCTGAGTTTCGAGATTTTCAATAAGTTTTCCCGTGTTGTTTTCTTTCTGGAACGTGTAGAGCTCTTCTTATCCTTAAGGAGCTCGGGATCTTGTCTTAGGAGCTCGCAGTAGATACTGAAGCGATTCAGCTGGTGAGTTGTTGGTTCATGATGACCTCTGCTGTACTTTGCCCTCTCCTCCTCAAAAGGTTTTATGAATGGATCCTGCACTGGAGACCCCATGTTTAGAAAAGTAGCGGGGACAATCAAAAGTGATGAATATGGTGAAAATGGTAGACCTGGCGAGTAATGGGAGAGTCGAGGAAATTTGGGAGATATGAAGGGTTTGGGGGGTTTGGGGAAAATTGGGAAAATTGGGAAACCTAAATACTCGGTTACCGAATCACTGACCCCCTGTTTCGCCACGTCACGAGAGATAACCAGGCGCTACTTGGAGCCTGGAGCCTGGAGCCTGGACCGTTGGTGGGGATTTTCCTGAATTACCAGGACTTATTATTAGACGGTATGACAGTGAAATTGTGGGTATGAGACAGCCTCGCGCATGGATTCATATTGTCCCCCGTTGCGCCGTTGATGGCCGGCTGGCCCGGCGGCAGATGATGGCACAGTAGGCGCCGAAATCCACATTTCCTTCAGGCAACCATTTGCTGATATCATACGGAAGCCCAGTTGGTTCTTAAGTCTTGCGCCAATCAAAAGCGGCTCTCTTGGCTGGGCGGTCTGCTGAAACTTAGTGTCTGGTGACCTCCCGTAGCGCCAGGGCTTCGCCAACGAACACTAGGACCGGTCAAGAATTCGTATTGGTTCGCGTCAGATTACGCTCTGCAAGGCTGAACTGCTCCAGCGCACGGGCCACAGACGCTCGGGTGACCAATGTCTACCCTAACTCTGAGAGCTCCGTCATGTGACATCCCTAGGTAGTAACTGATGCGCTAGTCCGAAAGCTATCATGCAATGTTATCTAATCAACGAGCTGCCTCCTGTTATAGCTACCGTCAAGAAGAGCCCTTTCAGACACCACGAGTTGATAATAACAATAAACCAATTGACGTTCTGTTGACTTAAGGTTGAATGTTTCGTTCCGTAAGTACCGTACGTACGAATGACTTGGGGGGTGGAATGTTGGTTTAGTGGAGGGACACAACTTATGATTCGTTTCAGAAAAGTGATCATCGATCGCCCTGACAAGTCCGTTTCATGCTTTTGGAAGTACACAGACCATCTAGTCTGTCTTACTGTTGATTTGTCTTAATTCGGGATCTGTAACTGTGTAAGCGTAATTTCACTAGGTTCTTTTACTAAATTACCGCTAAGCGCTGCGAGCTGCAGGAGATATCACACAAAGTGCATTCTCTGCTTTCCACTCACGACTGACCTGCTTCTTACACTATAATTCAACAATTGTAGGCGAAACGCTTCATCTCTCGGACATATAAGAACATATATTTGCCCTCAAAGTTGATTGCACCCCAATGTTGTCCTTTTTACCCTGCTGATTATTATCTGCGACTAATTCAAACTCAATATCGTATCCTTTGTCGTTCTACTCCTACACTGTTTGACAATGTCGCGCCGAGCATGGAACAGTGTGATGGATGCAGTTACTGGCCGCGGCTCCAAGATCTGGGAGAAACTCGCCCGACCGACAGTCGGGAGAGGCAAAACTCAATGGCCGAAATCCGCAAGTGATTTGGAAAACCACGGCGTCCGTTTTGACTATGATGGTACCATTGAAGAGAATGGACTTGTGTACCACAAGTTCCAGGTGCAGCCCAATGCTGGAAAGATTCCCAGTTCATGGAAAGACTGGAGGGATAAGCATGGGGGGACTCATGCCGTCATTGGGACCGTTAAAGTCAAGCAAGACGCGACAAAGGATGAGGTTGATGAGGCACTCAAGTCACTTGAGGAAGAGCTTTAATCGGAGTGTGAGTCATCATCGTTTCAAGTTTAACCGAGTAGAAGCTAATTCTCTTCCCTAATTTCTGGTACTTATACAGAATATTATTCCTTGTTAACCTCGCCATTGTCGGAGGTTTAGGATTTGGCAACTTGTGGGGTCCCAACTGAAAACGGGATCCGAGAATCTTGATGTGGGGTTGGTATGATTAGCATCTTAATGTATCCACTCTTTGGCCTAGCCTTCTCACTACAAAGTACTCTTGAGATTATATGGGTTACGATTTTTTATTACTCAGTGTAACGATACATGCGTACAACATGGGGACAAAGCGGCTCGAGACCGATAAGGGGCTAGATCGCCAGCGTCGGCTGGCCCACATCCCGTCAGCCATCATGTCGAGAGAAGACGGAAATACATTCTTCCGTCAGAGAGAGATCTCCCTTAAAATTATCCCGTGGAACGGACGTTCAAGCTAAATCATTTAAATAAGCGCAATATTCCTTCCTAGTGCTCTTTTCTTTAACTGAATTTCTTGTCTTCTTTGCAGTAGCATGATGAAAAACTATTCTATCAAGACACGAAAGCTTTTCGGCTCTTTACGGCCCCGAACTTTCCGCTTTCACAAGCTTGGAAACCCACAGCATGTGAAAGCTTCGACAAACTGTGGGCAACAATCAGATTTCACCCATCATAGTGAGCTTTTCCGGTACACTTCTGGAAGATGGATGTAAGTGCTTATGACACTATGGCTTTCTTCTAAGGCTGACTTTTCGAAGCTTCAACGAACATCTCCGTCTTGCAGAACGATTCCTTGAGTTTGATGTGTCCGCCCTTCAAAACGTTATTTCTGATGCATCTCGCCATTCGATATCCGATCTCAGAACCTTTAAAAAATTATCTGAAGGCGGATTCAACCGCATCTTTGAGGCCACTTTCAGCGACGGGAAATGTATTATTGCGCGACTTTCATACCCAAGCACAGTACCAGAACACTATACTGTAGCGAGCGAAGCGGCAACTTTAGACTATCTTCGTCTGCATGGTATTCCCACACCAGAGGTGTATGCGTGGTGCTCGACGAAGGCGAATCCTGTTGGGACTGAGTACATTATTATGGAAAAGTTGGATGGTATCCCGCTCGGCGATAAATGGTTTAGATTGACGCCAAAGGAACAACACAAGGTCATGAAACAAATAATTGAATGGGAGACGCGATTGATGTCACTGCAATTTCCTGCATCTGGAAGTCTTTACTATACTAAAGATCTTTCATCTGAGAGCAGAATACAACTCACTGAACCCAACGGTATGGCGTTCTGCATAGGACCGACAGCTCACTATAGCTGGTGGCATGATAAAAGGGATCTATTGAATATCGACCGAGGTCCTTGTGAGTGGACTCCCTTTGAGGGCTGTTTTGTCGACATTGCTAACTAAGAAAGGGCTGTCATCCATGGGGGTTTTCCAAGCAGCTGGTGAACGTGAATTGGCCTGGACTAAAGCCTATGCAAAACCTCGCTTGCCCTATGACCGGCTCTATAGGGAAATCTATCATTTTAAGCATGTCTCACCTGATAGTCACATCACAGACCTCTCCAACTATCTTAAAATGATATCCTGCTTAGGGTATGCAAGCGACTCAACTTTGAATCGACCTGTCCTGCGCCATCCAGATCTTCAGCCAAATAACATCCTTGTTTCTGATTCAAATGAGATAGTTGGACTTATAGATTGGCAGCATTGTTCTATTCTTCCTCTCGGTATTGCTGCTGGAATACCAGCTCACTTCCAGAATTATGGTGATCCCGAATCGGAGATGCTGAAACAACCTCAGCTTACTCTACCTCCATGTTACGGTTCTTTGCCTTCATCCGAGCAAGCATCGTTACTAGAGACTCGGCGCAAAAGAATGATACATTTTCTGTACGCTGCCTTCACCAGAAGACTAAATGAAGAGCACTATGATGCCATCTTTGATCAGTCTGTTATCCTCCGCCAACGGCTATTCAAGAATGCTGGTACGCCCTGGGAGGGAGACTCAATATCTCTGCGAGCAGAACTCATTCGCTCTATACAGCATTGGCCGACAATTGCTCAGACTACTGATGCAGATCAAACTAGGAGTGTTCATCCAGTCGCTCCAGTGGGTTATTCAGAGGACACTGTCCGGGAAACCCTTGACTTAGATGCTCGTCAAAAAGAAGCTGACATTGCAATGGAAGAAATGCGATATGCCTTAGGTATTGATATTTTGGGTTGGGTTCCAAATGATGATTACGATGCTGTGAAAGGAGTGGCCCGTGATATGAAGACAAAAATGCTTGAAGCAGCTGAGACTCCGGAAGATATTATCAGTGTCCGAGATCATTTTCCTTTTGATGATTTCGATGAAGGCGCCTGAGGCATTTCTCGAATTGTTTGATTATTTGTCTATTCATCGACAATGCTATTGTTTTGGACGGATAACGATATTTACGTGAGGGCGGCTAGAAACTCCATTGGACGAAGCAGTTGCGCGATGGTGCGCGAAGGGCCTGTTTTGATCGTTGTTCACAGAAATGGGTTTACCATGCTCAACGTGCTGTGCTGCGTAGCTGTGCCAAAATTCTCGAGATGGACCAAAGTATTTGTAGGCAGCAAAACAGGGACCGACTGAAGTTCCAAGACCCTTAAAATGGGGCTTCAATGGAGTACACGCCTCCGAAAGCCGGGCCGGATGGAGATGGACTAAGCCCGTCCCTGTATTCGTGCTCACGCGCCCCACGCGCCATGAATCTGAAAAATTGATTGTTGTACCCATTCACTTTGAACCCAGCCAATGCAATCGACCAGTCCATGGAGTTTGCCTAGAGTCACGGTCCACCACAGGGACAATGCAAGGATTACCCAAAAAGAGTGAATGCTTTAATGCATGGCTCGAACTCCAGCAAGTGTCACATCATCACTAAATATTGCTGAGCTTCAACAAGTAGCACCGCAACAGCAAACAGCTGTACTCGTAGTGTCGTTCTTTCCACATTCGACTAATGACAGGGCGCGGTAGACCGGACGATCGGAGATGAAGGACCCATCGGCCATAAAATCGGTAAGCAAGATGCCGCGGAAATGTGAATGGTGAAGGCAATGGCGATGGCGATGACGGTGATGGTGCCGAATAGCCGGCCGAAGCCATGAATGAGGCATTTATGCCATTGGACATGGTCCTCCGAGGCGCAATTTCGTCACTGTTCCAAGTAATCCAATCGCATAGCAGGACACTCGGGATCAACATGGACTGGGGTGGAGACAGAGACGCAAGGACGGGCGAGCGCCGGAAACGGGTAAGAGGGTGTGAGGGATGAGGGGTAGAAGGAATAAGCGTAAGCCGTAACGTGTAATCAGCCTTGCAGCCTGTTCAAGCATCAGTCACTTTTGTCCTTGGATCAGGGAAGCGCGGATGGTAGATGGGTGAGTACCTTTGAAAATTGGTAGACAAACCAAGATCCCGTACAAACAAGAGACGCATTTTCTAATCGTATAGGATAAAGGGTAGAAAATAATGCATACAACCACTAGGCAAAGGGCGGCAAAGCCCGATTCACCTGAACAGCCGGTCAGAGCTGAAGGGGTGGAGGCGACGGGGAACGAGGCCGCAGCCGCAATTTCCGACAAGGAAAAAGGAGGGGGGCGGGGTGGCAAACAAGGCAGCAAGATTTTTCATTCTCGGAGCAGATGAGACGAGGGGGCCGCGATCGGGTGAGTGCAGAATATGGGAGGGGGGATTGAGGGAAAAGAAGGGAAGTGGGTGAAGTGGGAGGGCCAGAGGGTAGGAGGTTCTTATATACTCGGAGGGGTGACGGGCGGTGATGACAGTACGTCGTATTGGGCAACTAAGCCGAAAGCGGCAAAACTAACTGCAATAGGGGAAATTCACAGGTCCCAGAATTACAAATGTAATCTCTTTATCATGGGAGTATTCATCAAAGTCAGCTGATCTGAGCTAAGCCTAACCTGGTCTAGCAGAAAATATATAGATATTAAACCGGAGTACAATTATCAATTTCCCATTTTATGATGTATGGAGTGCTGCGCGGAGCCTGTGGATTGACAGTAATAACTGAAAATTGAAGAGCAGCGATGGCTAGATCAGTATTATGTTCGATATGTGTTAGAGTCTATATTATCTCATAACACTGCTAAGTACATCATAGAACGAAAGCAGGCAGAAAGTTTAATTGACCGGTTACTATCTAAGCATTTCTGAGGCCCCACTGCTGTTGAACATTGATCAATTTTGCATACCCATCAACTTTGATGAGCCGTCCATCTTCTGCGGTCTATCGGTCCGTTGCGGACCCTTTTCTTGTCTTCGGGCTATCAACAAAGAAGTATACACCGTCTTATAGAGTATGAACCGAAATTTCCATGATGGCTGCAGCGAGCTGTAACCTTTGTACATTTCCTGGCATGTGCTGCGCTTACTGACTCGAGCCGCGCATGTTCCGCAGCAGGCAGCTCTTGGTGAGCTTCCCCACCATGTGCTCTGGTGTGTTGCACTTAGTACCCCTGCCGGGTAATCTCCGAGTTGTGGGAAGAACCAACCGGATGATCAGCCTGCAAGATGACAGAACCCCGAAATTCGAGTAACACGCAAAGTTCCACGACCCGTGGTTGTCTGCCCAGCGGATCGGTGTTTTAGGCGTGGTCAGACTAGTAGGTCTTAGGTCGTCTCTAGGCAGTCGATTCTGCGGATGCACATACTTCGGCCTGTGGCCGTTCGTTGCAACCTGTCCGTTCGCGGTCCGTTTGCAGTTTCTGCTCCTTTCACGCAGTGCGAAAACCTTTCATCATTCGGCCGAGGCAACATCGGGAACGTGTTGAGACAGCATGTCCACATCCTCATGAGCAAACAATCACGGTCCCATGGTGGAGTCGTTCCATAGTCAACGTCGCAAGCAGTTCACTGCCGCCTGGACCGAGCATCGGAACTTACCTATGACTCAGGCGGTCGCTCTTCCGTACATTCGAATCATACGCAAAAATATACGTGACACCTAGCGAGGAGATGCGTTTCTGGTGTTTCACAGGTGTATTGACAGTGTCTCGCCATCATGTTCATTCTGAGCTCTGCAAATTGAAGAAGGACAGAGTACGTCGGCGTACCGGATCGGGGTGGTGGCCTATCTTTCTCAATTGAAATCGGAAGCACATGGCCTGTATTGCCGAAATCTCCCAATAGAGATTGACCCGCTCGATGGCGAGCGATCGCTCGGACATAGCCGAACCAATGCTTTTTGAGTCAGCTGCTGCCTCCGGTAGGGTTTGGAGCATCTCAGGACTATTGAAGTCGTACCACGGTAGAAGACTCCGCGCTGCTCCGTCCAATAGACGGACAGAGTCCGGAGAACAAATCACGGGTGAGTACTCCGTACTTACCGTTGTGTCAGACGCAACCAGATTGGTGCTGGCTTAATCAACGATGAGGGCCCGGTCCACTCTAATCATCACTCGTGCAGACCTAGACCCTCCTTAGGGCGTCTCCAGGGCAACCCGGAGCGACGGCGTTTGGCTCTGTGGATCCGTCAGAAAACGATTGTTCACCACGATAGGAGATTTTGCCGCCCAGACGCGCTTAGCGACTGCCCCACGATGTGCGTTGACTCTTGGCAGGCCGATGGCCGTTCGTTCCACCGTCCGACCATTTTCGTTTGGAAAGAATGTCCACTTCGGGCGGCGTTGGGGTCGAACGGCGGACTCGCTCTTCCCTAGGTCTACGAGAAAACCAAAAGAGTCTAAATTACATTTAGCTCCTACAACGGGGCCACCCCGCGGATAACACAGCAGTACTATCAATCGAGACGCAGCAATGTTTGCCATCAGTGCGCAGTCATGCGGCTAATCCTGCTGCCGAACTGACCTCCGATGCTGAGCTAGAGGCCTCTTCCTGAACGCAGTCGGCATTTCTTTCCGTCCGCGGTACCGCTCTGAGTGTCCCGGTTGGAGGACCATCACCACTATTGTGCTGTTTCACTCGGTGTTGCCTCGAATCGAGGGGTCCCCCTTATCTGCGCTACCGTACGCTCGGTGGCGGTAGCTGAGTTGCAC